TGTCCTCAGGGTGACCCCATACATATGTGTGTCAATTTTGGTGCAAATATCTCAATTTACTTCCGAGTTATAAACATTTATATGAAAAAACACGTAAAAAATGACTGACACATGACTTTGTTTGAATTTTACTACCCCTTACTATCAATATTTACGCATTTGGGCATTAGCGTTTAGTTAACAAGCTATGATTCCGTGTTTCTGGCGGTGGTTTCGTCTCGATCGGAACAGCGGTTTTGAAGATATCGCCAAGTGTTTTTTTCGCGCTAAATCGCTACGCTACACCAACCGTAACACGAAACCCAGCATGTTTAGTATCAATGGACTCGGCAACGATTCAGGAACTCAAAAAGATGACTCCCGTGAAAATAAGTGTACCACACCCAAAGTTATAAGCATTTGAAAAAAAAATTCACCACTAGGTGGCGCTGTTTCGAAACTTCTCAGGCTTCTTCAGGGCATCGTACTGATGACCCATACCGAGTTTCGTAACAATTCGTTCATGCGTTCAAAAAATACAGCATTTTAGCACATAATTCAAAATGGCCGACAGCCAAAATGGCCGATCTGGGAAAATTGGATATCAGTCGACTCGGCATGATTCCCTGAATCTAACGAGATGAAGTTTATGATTTTTGGACAAACCGTTCAGAAGTTACGAGCAAAAATAGCCATTTTTCATATCTCCAGACCACTAGGTGGCGCTGCGCCGAAACGCTGCATGTAGCCTCAGGTCATGCTTGTGATAACATGTACCAAGTTTGGTCTGAATAGGATTAAGCGTTGCGGAGATACTGCCTCACGTCTGTTTTTGCAAGCGTTACGTAAAATTTGTTTGTGCGTTTATCAAAAACCGTTAAGCAAATCATCTTGAATTCCATAACTTTTTGTCAGCACTGCCTGGAGATGATCCGGTGCGATTTTGGTGAAAATCGGACAAACCGTCTAGGACGAGTTCGCAAAAGTACGTTTTTTAGAAAATTCAAAATGGCGGCCGTTTTTTTATGACGGAAAATGACGTCATAGGGTGCGATCGAATCGGCATGAGCTCAGGAACAAGAAGCAAAAGGAATTTTGTTGATAGGCCTTACGGTTCAAAAGTTATTAGCATAATAAAAGTGAAACTTTGGACAGTTGGTGGCGCTAGAGGGAATGAGTTAGAGACACCAAAATTGGTGTATTTAAAGTTGGGACTGTCCTCTATCAGAATGTCAAACCAAAACAACTTTCCCGCAAACCGGTCTATGGGCTGCCATAGACGCCCAGTCGGAAGAAGAATAATAATAATAATAGGAACCGGAACAGATACAATAGGTGCCTCCGCACCTTCGGTGCTTGGCCCCTAATAATAATAATAATAAGAACCGGCACAGATACAATAGGTGCCTCCGCACCTTCGGTGCTTGGCCCCTAATAATCAATACTCATCAAGGCATGGTGACAGACAGTTGTGCGAGCTGACAAACAATTAAAATAAAAAATACACACTTAGTCATTGTGCTTTGGAGTTTATTCAAAATTATAAATGAATGTGCTACTAGAATACATTAAATGGCACATTTGGTATTCTGTCAACACAGGCTTTGATCCTGAGTTTAGGTGTAACATCAGTAGAGAACAGCCAAACACATGCTGAGAGAGTTTATAGAACATTAAGAATTTAAACAAATGTACACAGGAAGATTCGTTGTCTTTTGGGAGGTGATGGAAACTACAGTCGTTGGTAGGATCACTGTGATTTCGTTTTCAGTTTATGTTCAAAACAATCACGTTTAAGCCACTAAATTAGTTTAGTCCGGTTATACATACAACCGCGAACAGCGCATGTTGTCCCTGAGCTCCGTAACGACATCTCTCATAAAGATTGGCGTCTTTAAATAGTAAAATATTTCTCAGAAAAACAGCTAGCCTCTTCGCTAACTAACACACAAAATACCATTGGAATGCTACTTCCGCCGCCTCACCGGAAGTTTCACCCACTTTATTTTTTACATGAGCGCCCCTCGGAAACTTGTGGATAATAATTGCATAAATAATTTCATACAAATTTATTATTTTAAATAAGCATTACTAAAAGCCAGATGATTTTGTTTTTTAAAAATTATTTTTATGTTGTGACCTTTAATTTGAAGTAGAAACAGGTGGGGTGACTTTATCACGTCAGACATGTCATGTGTCACTTTGCTCACAGCTGATTGGTCCAAGTTCATTTTGCAACCTCTTACCTGGAACATAAACTGCCCCGGACCAGGTTAGCTGTGGAGCGTGAGTTACTATGGCGATGAACACTGCTAAAAGCCAAACCACTTTCATGGTACCAAAACCCAGGGTTGGCGCAAACTAAATTGAAACTTAACTGGCTAGCCACCTAAACTGGCTATATGGTATAGGCCCTAGGTCATGTATATTGGTGTGTGTTTGGATTTGTATGTAGATATGTGTGAGTAGGGGTGTAGTGTTTAAATTTTTATTTCATTAGTGTTTTGTTTTGCAAAATGTAATGCATCGAATATTGGTAATCGTCATGTCTTGTAAGCGCCATGTTGGATTGTATCGACTCCAGGAAGAGAAGCTGCTCGTGTGTAGCTAATGGAGATCGAAAATAAATAAATAAATCCGGCCCGAGTGCACCCCCGCTCCCCTCTCCCTGTTTTTGCAGCCATGTATCTATCCAGATTTAGCCGCACCACCAGGAACGCATTTCTCAGGTCAGTCGGAGTGCTTCAAGACGGGACACACCAAGCCGGCCGTCGGGCTGTTTTAATTGGCTTGGTTTTTTTTTTTTTCCGTTTTTTCTTTCCGTTTACTTCCGGTCCTGGACAGCATTATTAAACAGCGCTCCGACCATAGGTATCCATAATAACGGGTAGATGTCTTGTCCGCGCTGCTGGCCAATGGAGTTTGACTTCCGCACCTGGCGGCCATCTTGTCACAGGCAGCTTGCTCACTCGTAGCATTGTGTTTTAATGGTGCATGTATTTTAAATAACCATAACTTGCTGAATTTTCTACCGATTTTCAAATGGTTTGGTTTGTCATAAATTTCAGAGATGTAGTTATGACACTTCTAACTTATGAATAATAAGTGTATCAAGAAATAATCATCCAGAAGTATAGCCATGTTAATAACATTTGTAAGAAACCAAACCGTTTGTAAATCCGTCAAGATTTCAACGAGATAAGAGTATTTGTGTTTGTGCTGATCACTCATCTTACACCGGATACCACAGAGAATGCCAGAAAGCTTGCCTGTGACAAGATGGCCGCCGGTAATGACGATAGAGACTCCGCTGTAAGACATCTAGCCTTTATTATTGATATGTTTGGCTGCAACATCCAGTGAGAAACATTATAATTTGACACTCACCTCCGGTACAAACCACAAATCACTCGATGATGAAACCGCCTCAACATTCTTAACAAGACTGATGAGGGAAACAGGAGAAACATTGTGCTATAAACGAATTTAAAAGACTTTTGTATCCCCAAATCACCACCCTTATGTACCATGAATGTACTGTAGCAACACTGACTGTATTTATCATGGTTTTGGCAGAAATGTGCATTTTTATATTACATACTATGTTATAGTCATTTATATTGCATTAGATTTATTAGGTAGGTAGGGGAATATAATTCATTTTTGTTAAGAAATTTTTGTGAAGATTTGTGTATAGATTTGGCCTGTGTTTAGGCGTTTTGATTATATAACGTATAGATTCATAATATAATTTGACAGTGTTAGCGAGTAGCCACACATGCTTTTACCTGTGGTTTCTAAGTAAGTCTCACTGTTAGAATATTTTAATTTAAGCCTATAATAATTATGAATATTTACTATGGTCTTTTATCTGCACATTATCAAGTTCCAAGTAAATACAATACTTTCACTTTTTAGGGTTACTTAAGCTTATTTATATATATTTACACACACACACACTTACTGTAAACACACAAACACATGTTGCCTTTAAACTAGCTTCTACTTTTTTCCAGCAGAGTTAAAGGGATAGTTCACTTTGAAAATTTTTTTTGATATGTTTTAGCTTACCTCAAGGGCATCCAAGATGTAGGTTCTTTGTTTCCACAGTAGTTTCAATTTTGATATTTTTAGGTCAAACTGTTCTTGTCTGTCAGTCAGGCAAGTGTAATGCAGGCCTATGGTCACCACCTCAAAGAGCATGCACAGAGAAGTCCAAATTAAACATGATTTAATGACTCGTAAATGTTAGTAAACATTGATGGCCTAAGACACGAAACGAGCGGTTTGTGTGAGAAAACGAACAGTATTTATATCGCTTTATCTCTTGTAACCACAGCCACGTCCAAGTGATATGAGGGCGCTTCGGTCTGCGGACGCTGCGCAAGCGCCGGAAGTGATCTCTCTCGCGGTTGTGAAAAAAATTCAACGTTGTCTGTTGATCTATCGAAATCGTCTACCATTGCGGTTTCCTGTATATCTAAATATGTTTCAATTTTCACAGTGAAAGGTAACACTTCCAAAACAATGAGTGATGTACACGCGAGAGATCACTTCCGGCACTTTCCGGCACTTGCGCAAACCAAAGCGCCCGCACCCTCAGGTCACTTGGACGTGGCTGTGGTTACAAGAGGTAAAACGATTTAAATACTGTTCGTTTTCTCACACAAACCGCTCGTTTCGTGTCTTAGGCCATCAATGTGTACTTACATTTACGAGTCATTAAATCGTGTTTAATTTGGACTCTGTGCTGCTCTTTGAGGTGGTGACCATAGACCTCCATTATATGACTGACAAGAACGGTTTGACCTAAAAAATATTAAAAATGAAACTACTGCGGAAACAGACACCTACATCATGGATGCTCTTGAGGTAAGCTAAAACACACCAAAAATGTATTTCAAAGTGAACTATCCCTTTAATAACTCTCTTTGCTTTTCTTACTTTTTAACCTAATTTCTTTTTCTTTTCTTTCCTGTTTCTCTCTTCTTCCTGTTTCCATGTTTCTGTTTCTGCTCAAGGCCTCCTATACCTCTCCTCCTTCATCCTCCTCTTCCTCTTTTTCAATTCTCCCTCCTCCTGCTGGGCTTCTGGAGGAGGCGGAGCCTGCTCTTGGTCTCAGCCTATCAGTGTCTAACTCCTTCCTCAGTGGCCACGCCTCTTTGACCACGCCTGTGGTGAGTGAGCAGTTTAGGAGTGGAGTGCAAAGGACATGTAAACAATTAAGAAAGGGTTTTTTTTCCTCTTTAAAAATTTTAAGAAGTTAAGTATGTTAAGTATTTCAGGGCTAGTATTTAATAATAAAATTAATTTAATGTTTCATGAATGAAGCCTATTATATTCTTTGTGAGTCTGCTTATGTATCTGTATTCAGTGTGTTCTGGTCATTCTGTGTGTGGTTTCAGCACACATGTGCTCTTCATATGGTTTTGTCATCATTTTTAACATGTCTCCCTGGGGTGGTTATTAAACCGCTGTTCAGATGCGACTTAAAGATTATTTATGGAGTTTGTGTGTCCACTTTGCCCTTGTTTTGGGTTTTATTTGCTCCAAAGCTGAATTAAAGTTTAAGTCTAAAATCTTATCTAATCTTAATTTATCTGATTATCTGGGTTTAAGGTTTAAATCCATGGCTTATCAAAATGCTGTTTAATCTTCATTTTCCTCAAGTTCTTTATTAGTCATGACATTTAGAGTGTCTTTGGGGTTTTTTTAATCAATTTTCATTGATTTTATGCAGTTATTTTCAGCAACACATCTAAGATGACCAGCTCTTGCCGCAAGTTTCATGTTTCTCTCGATAGCTTATGAAGAGGTGTGATATTATGTCTAGAATTTCAGATTTACTGTTGATAGTTTCATCCTAAGAAAAAAAAAGATGTACAACCAGATATGACGCGTTTCTAGCATCAAAGTTTTCTGTCCTCACTGAAAGTGTGTTTGTGTGTGTGTGTGTGTGTGTATGTGTGTGTATGTATATATATATATATATATATATATATATATATATATTAGAGCTGTGCAAATATTAATTGCGATTAATCGCATCCAAAATAAAAGTTTGTGTTTACATTATTTGTGTGTGCTCGGTATAATTATTTTGTATATATAAATACACACACATGCATGTATATATTTAAGAAAATGTGTTATTCATATCTAAAATTTTTATATATATATATATATATATATATACACACACACAGTATTTACGTGCAAATAATTCTTAAATATATACATGCATGCATAAGTATTTATATAAATTATACACAGCACACACACATGTAAACACAAACTTATTTTCTTTGCTTATTCGCAATTAAACTTTTTTTAATCACTGCCCTAATATATATATATATATATATATATATATGCTGATGCTATGATGAAAATATACAATGATGATGCTGAGTCTGTTATTGCTATTGTTATTACTATTGTTATTATTGTTTACTAAAACTATTAAACTATTAATTGAAATAAAACTAAAATAAATGATAAATATAAGAATACATAATACATATAAGTTAGAGTTAAGTGCTAAAGTAAATAAACCTGAAATAAATGTAAATGTAAGATAATTAAAATGATTGAAGAAAAAAATCTAATATGACATAAATCACATTACAAAACAACTAAAAATGAAAATGAAAACTGAAAATATAAAAATAAAAGCTAACTATATGAATAAATACTACACTGGTTGTCACTGAGATCAGGAAGCTGTTATTTTGAGTGTTTCTCCCTAGTGATGAGTTTTTTCAAACTAGTTTGTCATGGTAACAGAATCTGGGAATTGTTCTGGAATGTTCTTTGCTCTTGACCCCTGACCTTAGAGGTCAGAGAAGAAGCAATATGATGTTTATGTGTGTGTGAGAGTGAGTGTGTGCCTAAGGAAAGACTGAACCATTTCGTTCAGTTAAGTGTGTGAGTGTGTGTGAGGCTCCATATGTATTTTTTCCCCCTCTTTCTATCTCTTTTCCTCACTCCCTCCTCTGAGTCTCTGTGGAATGCTTACATTCCAGAATGTCACAGATGGAATAGAATGGGGGAAGCTCTTCCCGATCTCTCCGGGAAACATGTTGGACCATGTTTGTTGAGCTGTGTGTGTGATGGGATGTATTGGAATGTTGTTGCTGGTGTTCCAGGCGAGTCCATGCAGGTGTTTTAATCCCTCTAAGCAACATCCGGAAGTTCCGCCAGGATTTGACTTGTCCAGCGTTGTGTGTGTTGTGTTGCCTGATAGAGTTTTAATAACCAATTTAAACTCGCTGTCCTGCTATTTTACACAGAATAGGAATTATCTCTGTTCTCCTGTCTTTTTCATTCTTTTCAGATTTATTCCAAATACTTCCTCTGATTACATCTTTCCTCTCCCATTTCTTCTCTTTTCTTCTGTTTCCACCAGTCGCAGAGTTCTGACCCGATTGGCTTGACCAATGCCGGCAGAGCTCTAGATGGTGGGGGTGTCTCTAACGGGTCCTTGACCAGCTCTCTGGTCTCTCTGGCCGTCTGTCTTCCTTCTGAGTCTTCTCTTTCTGACTCGCTTCTTACCTCTGCGGTAAACACACTCAAGAACACACACACACACTCTCAAGAACACACACACACGCATTTCAGTAATTATCGGAATATGGGCTTCTATTATTATTATTAAATAAAGCAAATTATAATAACTAGTCCTTAATAGCCATGTCTTTGCATTTCTAACTAAAAATAAAATATTTATTTATTAACTATTTTGGTAATACTTTACTATGTATAATAAAAAAAGGCATTAAAATGCCTGGTTATGCACCTTATAATACATTATATGATCTGGTGAATAATTGTAACCAATGTTATAAAATGAAAGCAAACACAGCTCTGGTATTGGAAAAGTATCGGTATCGGCCGATATCTAAAGTCAGGTATCGGGATCGCAAGTGAAAAAATGTGGATCGGTGCATCCCTAGTTATAATACTTATCTATTCATGGTCACAGTCAGCTTTATAAAGTTTAATTTTTCAAAACACGTAACCAATGTCAGATTTAAGAATCTACGAATATTTATTATGCATTTTAACTTGGGTTGCGATTATATATAAAAAGATATTATATAATGCATTATGACATACATTATGAACACTATTTCTTCCACTTAAGATGTCCCCAAAATGAGGTGCAGTTTTGTCTGAGAAGCATAGATATTATATAAACAGACATGAAAAATGATACTTTATACTGTATCTCAGGTTTTCCTGAAAATATAATATGGACTGGAGCATTATAATGAGTGTTTTGTTGTTGTTATGGAAATATTGTAAATGTGTGTGCATCAGTGCCATCTAGTGGCAAACATATTTGTGTCTTATAAATTCTGTTGTGAAAAGTCTTGAGTTTTCTGATTGAAAAGATAGGTGTGCTATTGCTTTTTGAAGCAGATTGGACAATTTTCACAATTTTAGCAGTGTTACTTTGATATTAATATATATTATTATAGTATTATATTAGTTTCGGTTAATATTTTGGAGTAGATTCTATTTTTCGTTTCGTTTGAGTCATTTTGTTGTTGTTTTTCTTCATTTTTGCTAGTTTTGAATAAATAAATAAACTATATCTATATAGTTTTTAGATTTGTTTTTTACAGAGCTCCTAAACTTAAGGGACATGATGATGGAAAAACAAATATGAGATGGGAGGAAAAATTATATTTCAGTATTTTTACTGAGAAAACTTGTGTTTTGCAAATGTTTATTCCTCCATTCTCATATTTTTTTTCAGTACTTCGAGAAATATATTGCCTTTGCCACAGCAATGAAATAAGTTTTTTTTTTTGTTTTTTTTTCGCTAATTTTCATTTTATTTCAAGTAATTTAAATGCCTTTTTGTATGCTTTTAGTTTTAGGGAACGTTTACATGACGACAATGTACCAAAAAAGGAAAAGTTTTTCCTTTGTGTTTTTCGCGTACAGATGACAACGTTGTCAAAATGATCCGCAAAATGAAAATAAAAACACTGTATTATTCATGCCAGGCCAGTAGTTGAAGATGTCATTTTTTAAAGAAACATTACACGCCTACAGACTGAACACGTAATACTCATGAGCATGATGTCACCGTTTTCAGAAATTCGTGTTTTTATAGTTTACACGGAGACGAGAACTGAGTAGAATAGTTTACATGGAGACAAGTATTGTTTTATATAAAAAAAAAAAAACGTGCACTTTGAAACCCATTTTCAAAAGGTTGTGTTTTCAGACCCCCAAAACGCAGTTGTCGCGTAAATAAAAGTAAATGAATGAAAGGTGTAAAAGGTGTACAATATAAAATAAAAAATGTAAATAAGTAATCCTAAATAGTCCTGGTCCTGAGTCGCATCTAGAGACCAGAATATCATAAGCAACCATCCTAATTTCCTCACTATGTAAACTCATTTATTTATTTTATGAATTTAGTGGTATTTTGCACAGGTTTACTGTATGTTGTGAGACCAACCATGAGCAGCTTGAACAATGTGTGTATGAAGGTGTGTATTGGAGGCCTGCCTGTCCCAGTAGTGACGTTTGTCCCTGTTGTTTTTGCTATAGAGTGAAAGTGTTGATGAAGGTGGCGAGGGAGAGTATGTGAACCTGTACTCGTCCACACAGGCTAACGGAGACAACACACACCGCACTGTAAGTGCCCATGTGTGTCATTGTGTTAAGGTGTATGTGTGTTAGGAGTGTAATTATAATTTTTACTTCTTCAGGACACGTCTTCATGTGATGATGGGCTTCAAGACCACACCCCTCACATACCCACGTCCAATAGCAAGGAAGCATTGTCCAAGGACAGGTATGAAATCAAGTCTCTGTGCTTTGGGCAGGTTTAAGAGATGTGTAAATATGTGTGTAATGGTTTCTCTCGATCACAGGCCGAAAGAACCAAGTCATGGTCAGATAGATGATGTTGATGAATTATCCCTCATTGATCATAATGACATTATGGACCGCATCACACTCAAAGCAGAGGTAATAATGCTCTTTCATAAAGCTTTCATTGACTGTACAAAACCTTTATTAAACATCTTCTTTAACCAAAAGCCAGGAATTATTAAAACCTGATTGATTGATTGCATTTCTGCTAATTACTTTTTCATTTGTGCATTTATCGTTTGTATGTATAATTTGTTTAATTATGTTTAAGTTTTAGTTAATTTGGTACTTCAATTTTAAATAAATGAAAAATGTTGCCTTAAATTTATTTATATATTTTAAATTTATTTATATATTTCACAGGAGAATCGTTGTCATTTCTGAATAAGATTGTGATCTTATTCCTAATATGTAGACATGAAATATTGATTGAAGTTAAAAATATGTTTCATAATGGGTAAAGAAAGAGGAATCAGAGTGATATGAGAGACATTAAACCAGCTGGATATTTAATGTGTTTTTGATAAGATCAGGGGCCTCATTTATAAACGTTGCGTACGCACAAAAGAAGGCGTACGCCGCTCTCTACGCAATAGTTGGTATTTATAAAAAAGCAAACTTGACGGTAAAATGTGCGGTCCTTCACGCAGCTCTGACCCAGGCGTACGCACAAAAACGGGTGAAATGAGAAATGGCGACACCGTCGGCAGTTGGAAAAAACACGTGAAAGTGTGTGAAACTGTAGACGGTTGTGTAAAATAAATGGCAATACTGCCTCTCATAAATAACACAAAGACTTCACAAAGCAAGTCTTATAATTAACAGCCTACACGAACACCCGATTGATCGATCTGTAACAGAAATGCAAATTAACACGTATTTCCAAAAAGAAAGTGAAATATGTTCTGCAATAATATAATAATAATAATAAATAACAATAATACATGGCATATACAATTCATCCTCATAAATAAGATGGTAAACAGAACGAAATAATGTACAAAACTGATATTCTTGCCAATATGTCCGTCTAACGGAGCAGATATAGCAATTAGATAGTCAGTCAGATAGATAATTAGGGAGATATATAGCCTAGATAGATCGATAAATAGTAGGGCTGGGTATTGACACAAATTTCACAATTCGATTCGATTTCAATTCACAAGCTTGCAATTCTATTCGATTTCGATTCAATATTGATTATTTTGGATATCAGTTAAAATAAATAGCAAATTTTCTCAAGGAAATCAAATCTCTTAACTAATGCTGTAAACTATAGGAGTCTAGTTGTAGCCTATAGACTTCATTAGCCTAATATGAAGGCAATAATGAACTGTTTTGTAGCTATACAAACACTTGAATTACATTTTTATTTATTTTTATAGTAAGAAGATTATATGAAATATAAACATTTAAATGGTGGCTGTCATAAAAACTTGCCAGATTTATTCAAATATGCATTAAATATTGAAGAACATTAAGATTATAATGCATATGTAATATGGTGTATATATTTAGCAAAATGCTCCTCTCTAGAGTTATTTTTTTCTAGCTGACTAACGAGTTTATGTGGGTTTTCTGAGGTAAATATGACGATACATGACATTGATTACAAGCTGTTTAACTGACGTCTTTCCACGGTTGAAACGCTGATTGAGCGAATCAATGTGACATGATACGGATTTCGATAAGTTGTACTCTTATCTTTTAACACACTTTCAGATGCTCATTCATGTTTATTTCACGTTGTGACTGGTATTATTAAGCCGGAAGAGAGATCAGCGCTCCTGCTTCTCTTGAGCTGCGCCAGAGCGATCTCACGCCACAGCACCAAAACTCTATTTATGTTTTTGAATTTCTAAAGAAAATGGACGTAATTTGAAAATTGAGACTTTGTTTCATATCAATAGTAACAAAGGACAAAGATTATTGTGATTTTTGGATTCGCGCAGCCATGATACAATGTCCCATTCATTCAAATGAAACAGGATGACTAATCGATTCTTGAGATTTAAGAATCGATATCGGTTCGTAAAAATGAGAATCGATTAATATCGAGAAATCGATATTTATTACCCAGCCCTAATAAATACTGTAGATAGATGTATTAATTGTCCACTGGGGAAAGTTGTTTTCATCGTAAAAATATCTTCATCAGCTACGCAATCATGGTATTTATGCATATATGCCTTTAGTTTGTTTTATTTTTATAAAATAACGTATGACGTATGTCTCAACCATTCAGAAAGCTGCAAGAAATTACATTTGCTCTGAACTATTTCCCATTTCCAAGTAGATTAAAACCGACATCCGTAGCTTGTCCGATGCAGAATTAAATGGATGTAAATAAAATGCCCCATCACAATGCGTATAATGACGCCCAATGACTGATCTCGCGCTCTTAGAAGATGAACGCATCATCTTCACAACAAAAGGTGTAGAAAAAATATATTATTTATCCAAGAATTCCCTCATTGTGCAGTTTATTTCAGTTAGGACAGTCTTGATTTCGCCCAACTCCTTGGCCACCTCTCTAGGCTAATTGAATTAATGACTAGACACTTTTTTGCCTCGACTTTGATGTCCGACCATTTCTTTTTTATTTCGGCTACAGCTTTTATGGCGTCTGCGACCTTTTGCCTCTCAAGTGCCTTTTTGGCATTAGTAATGCATACTGTGCCCTCCAAACAACATTTTTCTCCTCTTTTCCACCTCGCCAATGATAACTTCTACTTCACATTGACTGAATTTACGTTTTTTTTTTTAATTCTTCTCTGTGTTTGCCATGATTTCGCAATCGATGAATATTAACTTGTGGACGTTTCACGGACTATTTATGGGCAACTATGGGCGTGACATGAAGCCGCAAAAGCTGCGCTACATTTAGGATTGATTGTGATTTTTTGAAGGGAAAAATGCGTAGGTTTTATAAATCCGAATATTTCTGTGCATACGCACGTCCTATGTTTCATCCGTACGCCACTTCTGACGCAAATCCTACGCAAACTTTTATAAATGAGGCCCCAGAACTGGAGTGTATGTCCTCTAGCGTTTCGAGAGTAATTCTGTAGTGGTTGATTGTTGAAGTCTAAAACACACACACACACACACGTCAGCTGGCGCAGTGCCACGAGCTGAGCTGGACTTCAGTGAGCTGCAGTAATAACTCTCTCTCTCTCTCTGATAGAATGATGATGGTCCTGATGTGAGAGCCGGTTCTGGTGATATACTGTTAGTTCACGCTACAGAAACAGACCGCAAAGGTAATCCACATCCTTTCATATGAAGATGGTTCAGTGTTCTGCATATGTGTGATGTTCTGTGTTAGATTGATTTATTCCTACTGTATCTGTGTGTGATGGAGGTTTGCTGTATATCTTGAGTGTATTTTAATTCTAGACCTCTGTCTGTTGTAGATTTGGTGTTGTACTGTGAGGCTTTTCTCACCACCTACAGAACCTTCATAACACCCGAAGACCTCATTAAAAAACTTCACTACAGATATCCTTTCAATCGCATGATCTGTTAGCAGCAGTCAGTCTGCATATGTGTGTGTGTTTCTTAACTCCGCTGCACATACACACGCTTCTGTCACAGTCCAGACACCTTCAAGAAGCGTGTCAGTAAAAACACGTTCTTCGTGCTGGTGAGAGTCGTGGATGAACTCTGGTGAGGAAATGCATTGTTTTACACATGGATACAAACTTCTCATTATCAAGCTACACTAACAGAAGGTTGCTGAGCTATTTAAGAGAGGAATATATGTTTTTCAATTTATTATAGCATTTTATTTTGTCAAAGCAGTGTTATATCTGCCACAAACACAGTTGGGTACTTTCAGAATCGAACCAAAACATGAAGCAACACAAATGTGTTTCTTAGCATATCGATTCGATTTATTCAAGGAACTTGATCAAATGAGTTGTAATGTTCCCAGATGTTTCTTCTTGTGTCTTTTCAAATTCAAACACTATTGAATATATTTAGCACTTTTTTTTAAGAGGAGTCCCTTCTGCTCATCAAGCCTGCATTTATTTGATCAAAAGTACTGTAAAAACGGTAATATTGTGAAATATTTGTACAATTTAAAATAACTTTTTTCTATGTGAGTATATACTAAAATGTAATTTATTCTCCTGTGATCAAAGCTGAATTTTCCAGTCTTCAGTGTCACATGACCCTTCAGAAATCATTCTAATATGATGATTTTTTTGCTCAAGAAACATTAATAATTATTATCAATGTTGCAAACAGTTCAAAAGAACAGAATTTATTTGACTCTGTCCAAGCAAAAAAAAAAAAAAGATCTCACTGACCTCAGACTTTTGATTGGTATTGAGTGTGTGACTGATCATGTGATCTGTGTGTCAGTCTGGTGGAGTTGACCGAGGACATCCTGCGGCAGTTGATGGATCTGGTGTTTCGGCTGGTCTGTAACGGGGAACTGAGTCTAGCGAGGGTCCTGCGAAAGAACATCCTAGATAAAGTGGAGCAGAAGAGGCTCCTGCGGCACGTGCACACGCTCAAGCCTCTCGCCGCACGGGGCGTCTCTGCTAGGTAAAGGTCAAAGTTCAGGGGTCATCGGGTATGTTCTCATCTTTGCACGTTTGTTTCGTGTTTAATTGGCTCTTTTCTCCGAAGGCCCGGCACGCTGCACGATTTCCGCAGTCATGAGATCGCCGATCAGCTGACGTTGCTGGATGCAGAACTTTTCTACAAGATCGAGGTGACAAACACAGACTCTTTTATTTGATGTGGAGTGGAATTGTTTTGTTTTTTTTCATTTTTGATATGTGAGTGTAAAAAATTTAAAAGTGATGCGCAATAACCTGTTGTCATCTGTCTTCAGATTCCTGAGGTGCTGCTTTGGGCAAAGGAACAGAATGAAGAGAAAAGCCCAAATCTGACCCAGTTTACAGAGCACTTTAACAACATGAGCTACTGGTACATATTTACTGATACCCACTACACTCTTAGTACAACATTTGTTCCCCAAATGGGCATCAAGGGCCCTGTGATCTCTGCTATGGTAAAATCACAATGGCAGAATTGTAGAATCTAGTCTTAAAAATGGAATTTACAGTGTTACATGGAATGTTATAGAATTTCATATATTTTGGATAAATAAATCAAAAGTAGGGCTGAACAATCAAATCATAATATCTACTACGGTTTGTGAATACTAAAGCATTTTTTTTTTATTTTGTATTTTAATTTTAGTTATAGTAATTTTGTTTTGTGCTTTTGTCATTTTTATATATTTCTATTTATCTCCAATTTCTTTATCAAATATGACTTTTACTTCCATGTTTTAATTTTAACAGTAAACTGAATTAAAAAAAACTGAATAGTATTTGGAATAAGCTTTTATTTTCATATTTTCCTTTTTTTTTAATTTTAGTTTTAGTAATTTGTTTTGTGCTTTTGTCGATTTTATTATTTCTCTATATCTCTAATTTAGTCTGCTCGCTTTTACTTCCATATTTTAATTTGAACTGTAAATGGATTTGTTTTTAGAAAAAAAAACCTATTCTTTAAATACTATATAGTATTAATCAGTATTTTGAATAAGCTTATATATAAGTTTGTTATTTTTTGTGTTTTTGTACTTTTTTTATTTCTATTTATGTCTTATTTATTTATAAAATATGAAGTCTGCTCTGCACGCTTTTACTTCATTTTTTTTATTTGAACAGTAAATGGAATTTTTAAAAATAAAATGGAATTTTAATTTTGGGGGTAAAAATAAAACAAAAATGATTTTTAAAATCAAAAGTAATTTCCCTAAACGGCATTCCCAACTTTTAAATGGCTGGGTTTACACACAATTTACCAACAAGGAAAGTTCTCAGTCTTATCCAAAGCACTTCTGAGAAAAAAGAAGTTTATCACCAACTTTTTAAAGTTCAAATTTTAGCCCTTCAACGTAATGCCAAAACTGTGGATGTAAATTCGACATGTAGCCTGAATTAGCTGTGGTGTGGACCACACATGTATGTAGATCGCTTTAAATCTGGCTATGGAGGACTGTCTGCTCACTATAACCCTGTATACTACACCCTCATGCCCTACATATTCTCCATACTCACTCAGTATTTGTGTACTCAAGTGTAATTCCTCCTGTCCACTAGGGTGCGCTCTATAATCATCCAGCAGGAGAAAGCTCAGGACAGAGAGAAACTGCTGCTCAAATTCATCAAAATCATGAAGGTAAACCACAGTTGACTAGAATAACACACACATACCTGAACACTTCATTCACTTTCTGAGTGATTTAATGTTTTAATCTGGTCCGTAGCACTTGCGGAAACTGAATAACTTCAACTCTTATTTGGCGATTCTCTCGGCGCTGGACTCTGCACCAATCAGACGCCTGGAATGGCAGAAGCAAACGTCTGAGGTCAGTCACACAAACTAATTAAAATCCCCACATCCTCCTCACTGCTAAACTTATCATAACTAAAGTAAATCATTCAATAAAAGCTGTTTTTACGAAAAGAAAAATTGTGCCTCCCTTTTCTTGTCGTTTCCCAGGGCTTGGAGGAGTACTGCACTTTGATTGACAGCTCGTCATCTTTCCGAGCGTACAGAGCAGCTCTAGCCGAAGTGGAGCCTCCATGCATTCCCTACCTGTCAGAAACAAAACTTAGCTAGAAAATGAACCGAAATGGAATAAAGCAAATGAATAATTTAAAGGGCTACTTCAGGATTTAGCATTAAGCTTTGTATTAGTAGAAAACCTGTAGTATTTTCAAATTGCCATGCTTTCCACTCTCATATCCCCCTGAGACGAGAGATTTATGTATTTTTTTGTCTGGAAAAAATCCTCACATGACGCAAAAATCGTCATTTTGCGTCATCTGAGGATTTTTTGGCCAGAGGCTAAAGACTACAGCCAGTAGTAGGGTCTGTCCCGCATGTTCTCAACCCACCCATAGAGGGTGGGATCTCACTCACAAAATGAACACATAATGTCAGCCATCTTTTTCGGCCGTTGAGATCGCCCGAAATGTCCGGGATTTAGCTTTTGCTTTCTGCAGTCGCCATTCATTGTTTACATGCACACCTTTTGTTTCAATCTAACTGAATTCATTCTGATTGGTGAATCTGAATGTAGTGTTTACGTGAACGCTAAACAAGTGATCGGTTGATGTGCATTTAAACATTGCTAAGAAAATTCCCTCTCCTCCGTGAGAGATACGAGTCACGAATCACGCCACCAGCCTCGCTCCATTCTCCCGCGGCCCTCACTCGTCCTGCTCGCTACAGTAAACATAACGAATGGCGACTGTTGAACGAAAAAGCCAAATCTCTGACATTTTGGCTGATTTCGAAACACATTTTCAGGCAGACTCATCACAGAGACTCACTTGTAGCCTAGACTTGTTGTTTAACGACTGCGCTCTGTTACCGGTAGATGTGGCCACCTAGAGCAGCAAAGCAAGTGCATTCTGGGAGTTGTTGTCTTTCATCCACATAAGCCAAAAATACATTTTCTGGCTTTTCTCCGTCTAGAAAGCTCCAAATTCAAAAATAATTTCACATTTCTTCTACATAAATGACCCATTTTAAATACACATTCATCTTTCCAGAGGTGAACTATCCCTTTAAAGTCTTCCCTCTCAGCCTCAAGTACGCTTATCAAAGCATTATCTGGTGAAATCTGCCTGTTTTGAAACTTCTTTGAGTTAGAAAAGCAGTTTTATGAGGTTCAGGACATTCAATTTTGACCTGCATAGGTAAAAAAAAATGTAGTATTTTAATATACACTATTATAGAATGTATTAATTAATATGTTGAAATGGCTTTTATTCTTTTTTTTTTCAGTTTTCAAATTTTGTCATTTTATTAGTTTTTATATTTCTTATTTAGCTTTCATCTATTTTTATTTCAGTTAATTTGTTATTCAGTTCATTTTATTTCAACCTATTTATTTCTATTAGTTTCTGAGGGAAGATTTCAGATTTTTGTTTAAGTATATGTTTACTATTTAATATTTATTTTTATTTCAACTTGATTTCAATTACCAAACATTTTTTTTTATAGTTTTGGTTTGTAGTTAACAATGTTCTATGCATCTGCTGAATTCAACAAAAATGTATTATTATTATTATATTATGTCATTGCTGAAACTAAAATGATATTTCAAGCAAAATTTAAAAAAGGTAATATTTAAATGCAAAGATATGCAAAACTCTAATATTAATCTGGATTTAGGAGTGTAGTAGGTAATGTAGTAGTTTTGCGAATAATGTTTTTTTTTTTGTTCCCTGACAGGGGTTTGATCCTACAGGACCTGACGTTTGTTCACCTCGGAAACCCGGATTTTATTGAGGGTAAAGTGAATTTTTCCAAGCGCTGGCAGCAGTTCAACATTCTGGACAGCATGAGACGCTTCCAGCAAGTGTGAGTAAAGCGCTGACGTCTGACTACACCTGATTCACACTGCCGTCCAGTCTGGCCTAGAAGAAAACACAATAGAAGTCAATGGGTTTCCATCAACTGTCTGGTCTCCAACACTCAAACATCTTCTTTTGTGTTTGATAAGTGATAAGATACAAAGTCATTGAGATGAGCTGAAATTGACTCATAATTGGCAGATGAAATTACAACAACAGACATAAGAAGTATCTCATAATTTTGACTTGTCATAGTTGTTTTTTTTAATCATTATTCGACGTGCCATGATAATAACTCTCATTATGAGATTAAAAATTATGACAAAAAAAACAATTATCAGTCATGATTATGACATAAAAATTGACAAATCAATCGACAGTCATAATTATGATATAAAAAGTTGAAATTATAAGATTAGTCATTGAAATAATATTTGAAATTCACCAAAAAACAAAATAAACAATTGACGACTGTCATATGTGGCAAAGTCGAAACATAATTTTGACGTAAAAAGTATCTCATAATTATGACTGTCACAATTTCAATTTGTCATGATTATAACCAAGTTATTATGACAATGATAATTATGATATAACTTAATAAAATTAGGATAACATTTTTTTTATATGGTTTATATTAATGCTATTTTATTGTAGTATACCATACCCGATTTCACTAGTAACTGATTAAAAAACGATTCATTTCAATGATTCATTTTTATCTCAATTGTCTTTGTAGACACTACGAGCTGAAACGTAACGAAGACATCGTCTCGTTCTTCAACGACTTCAGCGATCACCTGGCGGAGGAGGCGTTATGGGAACTCTCGCTCAAGATCAAACCACGAAACATCTCGCGGCGCCGGACAGAGCGTGAGGAGAAGACCTAGAGCCTCAAAGACGATATATACGGTGAGACCTGAACCTCCGGCAGAACCTTGGGAACCCACGCTACAGTTCTGGGCTGAACCGAGAACACGCAAGCTACAATTTGCACCTATAAAACATTGGCAGACATTGGCAGTATTTTCCCTGATTGTTAACTTTAAAACTCATGAGGGGAATCCTAATATACAATATACAAATATACAGATACGCACGCTCAAGAGGACCCGAACGCTGTGATATAAAGCAACTTTTTTATGTTTATGTGTACAGAAAGACACACTCTAAGAGGGCTTGGTTCATTTGATATTAATACACTGTGCCTGATGGAGTGAGTTCATGTTTGCTTGTCCCATTCGGACGTAACGTTTGGCCTTCCAAAGGTCAGTCACCTGATGATTCGCCCGCTGGGTCGACCTGCAGTCACCGTTCAGACCATATGATTGGGAAACGGGCAGACGTGTGCAATCTTATAACCGTTTATAAGGAAAATTCTCTGATCTGTTCAAATGAAAGTTTTGACAGAGACGGCAGGTTATGTATAAGTGGAATATATTCATTTGAAATTTAAAGAGCGAACTGGACGTTTGGACTCATTTTTCACGTCATCTTGCTATATTGTTTTGTGTTCTAACTGTTTACCCCGTCACAGCCCAACGAGTCCCACGAGAACGTGTTAAAACAACAAAAAAAACTGTTTATATGCACAATTTGCATTGACATTATTTTCATGACGGTTTCTTTTCATGTATATTTCTTCCTCTTCCCAATTTTCAATGGCTTGCACAATGCGAAATGCCAAAAGAAAAATGTAAAGTGCATTTATGAGGTACAAACAAAATGTTTTTTGTACCGAGTTTAATTTAAAAGGGAAAAATAGGTCACATTCATCAAACACGAGCAGAACAAATTGTTGTTCGTAAATCCTTTATGCAATTTTTTTCAAAAAGTTTATGCAAGTTTATTCATTACACAAGTTGTTGCATTCAGTGCAATACATAAGAAATGTTTTATAAACACATCAGAACAAAAAAATGATTTGTTTTGCTCATGCTTCGTGAATGAGGATTTTGGGAAAAGGCTTGATATTCATGAAAATAGTGTCATTATACAAACATTAAAGTTAATTTATCCGTTTTTGTCAAAGAGTGACCCGAACATTTGCCAGAGCAGGCTATGATGTCACAGAGAGGGGCGGGGCTTAGTTTGACGGCGTGCATGTGGATGATTTTGATTCTTTTGGGATATGTATTATATTATGTTCTGTATAAATGTACATGTACAGTTGTGATGTATAATCTCCTATCATGTAGAGGGCAGTTGCGAGGAAATATATTTTCAAACCAAATGAGTCGTGCACTAAAATAACTAACATTATGAGGCAAAAAACACAAGGACTGAATATGCTGTGATCTCTGGGCATCTGAGTGTCGTGTGTGAGTGCGAGTTTGTGAGTGTGTGTGCGCGCATGTGGGTTTTTTACAGAACGTTGTTATTCACTTACGGGAGAAAGGAAGCTAAAAAGGCTTTCTTCAGTGTGTGTGTTGTGTGGCGTCTTGAGATGTTGACGTTTACTGACTCCTGGGATTTTTTTCTTCCTGTTACACCTATAACATCCTGTATATTCAACCACCAATAAAACTGCTCTCTTTGTATTGCGTTTGTATTTTTCCAACACTAGATTTAGCATGTGTTTACAACTACAAAAAGTGCCACACCATTCCCATGTTTAATGGTTATGCCACCATGATATTTTGTTTAATAGACCACTTAATACTGTTATTCAGCAAAGATGCATTAAATTGTTCACAAATGACATTAAAGACGCGTATAATATAGAAATCATTTCTATTTTAAATAAATGCTGTTTTTTTAACAAAAAACCCTGGAAAAATGTGTATATTAAAATGATTTCTGAAGGATCACGTGACGCTGAAGACTGGAGTACCGGTAATGTTGCTGAAAATTCAGCTTATATTTTTATAATACATTAAAAAATATAATTTTTTTAACCCTTTGAAGTCAGCACCAAGAAAAACTGATGGAATTTTTTTTTTTTTTTTTGCATTTCTTATCTTCTTATGTCGCTATTAACCACACTCAATGTATTTTTTTTTTTAACACATCCCATAATTATTAAAATATCGGCCTCTACCAAATGGTTGAGATGTCACTTAATGGTAATAAATGATGCCGGAATTCATACACATAGGCTACTTTTTCATTGCCCATCATAATTTATGATCACAACCTTTTCTAGTCTTGACAAAACACATTGTCAGAAAGGTCTGAGTCTCAAGGTTTCATATTTTGTAACAGAAGTGATATTTGGACAGATATATTAATTTGTTACAACAGAATGCATACAAATAAATTCAATGGAATTTGACATTTTTGGTATTAAAGGGATAGTTACGCCGGAAGTGATCTCTCGTGCGTCTACGTCACGCATTGTTTACACGGAGATTTCGGAAGTTTTACCTTTCACTAAACATATTTAGATATATCGAAATCGTCTTCCATTGCGATCTAAATTTATTTAGTGAAGGGTAAAACTTCCGAAATCTCCGCATAAACAATGCGTGACGTAGACGCGCGAGAGATCTTCTGGCGTAACGTCTGGAGACGGTTCAGTTGGACATCTGATTCAGATTTTTTCGACGGCTGTTAACAAGAGGTAAAACGATATAAATTCTGTTCGTTTTATCACACAAACCGCTCTTTTCGTGTCTAGGCCATCAATGTGTACTTACTTTTACGAGTCATTAAATCATGTTTAATTTGGACTTCTCTGTGCATGCTCTTTGAGGTGGACCCACTAAAACTGCATTATATGACTGATGACAGACACCTACATCTTGGATGCGCTTGAGGTAAGCTAAAACATATCAAAAATTTATTTCAAAGTGAACTATCATTTTAAGCCTAAACAAAATCTCATGAGAACTTCAATTTTTGTGATATCAACTTCAAATTTGGAACACAACTTGGTTAGATATAGGGCTTTGATTATATAGTAATTTTATAGAAAATATTTTGTAAAATATATATTTTATATAAAAGAAAAAATATTTAGTTCAGTAAATTTGATTTAATGTAAATTTAAAATTTCCTTAACTTTTTCATACTTTTATTTTTTGAAGTGCTTTTACTTCAGAGAGTTTTCTTTAAAACAAGGCTAAACTTAGGTCTTTATTCCTTTATTCCTAAACTTAGATCTTTATTTTAAGCATTCTTGAATTACAACCAAGTTTTAATAGTGCATTGCAAAAGGGGGGTGACAGTTAACCGTCATGTGCCAAATCAACCGTTTGTTTTTGACATTTTAAAAAAAAATATATACTTAAGTTTTTTTTATAGCACCAAGTAACATAATTTTGTAAAGTTAGAGCTCTTACAGTGTAATATGTAAAAAAAAATATGCTTAGCTTGCAAAATTTCACCAAAAACTGTTCACATGGCTGGGGTGATTTATTTGTTTCTGTAGAAGAAGTGTTGTGACAATTGCTGTTGATTGACACTGTGACATCTAGTATAATATACCTCAACCAGATGATAGAGATGGCTCAATCAGTTTGAGTTAAGTTAGGTACTCCTCTTGATAAAATATAGTGACTCAAAATGTGCTCAAGTCAGTTAAAAATGCTAATATTTCACAATATTACAGTATTATTAATCAAATAAATGCAGCATTGGTGAGTAGAAGAGACTTTTTTCAAATATTACTTGCTGACCCCAGACTTTTAAATGACTTTTGTATATAAATATCATGGTCAACTAATATGGTAATACCTTGTTGAAATATCTTCCCTGTAAATAACATTACAATCAATTCAGTACCATGGTATATCCATGCATGGTACATTACCTTCATTCGTATAGCATCTTTCATAGTATTATTAAAAAAGCGCTATAAAAATAAACATGAAAAAGTGATTTTTTTGTCATTATTTCTTACACATCAGACAAATTAAATATACAAATAATGAGATGTGAAGTCACAAGCACGTTGTCTTTAATACTTAAAAAAAGGTTTGTACAAGAAATGCAAAACTATTTTAAAATATTCACATTTCGGAACCAATTTGAGACAAAGTAACATAAATTAAACAGTGAAACATTCAAAATAAAGAGACACATCAGTGATAGTGAGATTAATATTTTAAATACTAAACAATCACTATAATTCACTTGTATTTTAAAAGTATATTCAGAAGTATTTTACTTCATCCATTTTGTCTTATCCTGACCAAACAGGAGTTTATGATCTAGACAAGGCAAGAATATCCAACTCTAAAACTGTTTAAAATGCCGTTATACTCTTGATAATAGTAATGAAACAAGTTGACTTTGTTATTCTGCAGGTGTGACTGAAAATCTCATGTTTTATAGTAAAATTACATCCCAATGAGACTCCGGCAGTGCAAACAGAAGTTTTTGCTGATGTACCGTTGTGTTTACCCTGCAGGTACTGATTATCCCGTGTCATTACAGTACAAATTACTGTGATTAGTATGTAAATTATGACAGATAATGTAGAACATTAACTCTTTTACATATAGAGAGCCCAAATCCCTCCCCTTCCGGTCACGGTGGACCACCATGGGACCTTATTTCAGAAAAATATTGTATGATGGTCAATGGTGAGAGACCACAAATATTTTGATCTCATTTGGATTGTGCCCTGAATTACACATATGATGTTTGTCAATACATTTTAAAGTCAAGAAAGTCGCAGTATTGAACTGTTGAGGTATAAAACTGTGAAAATACGTAATTACAAACACTACAAACCCAAAAGGCGCACATGAATGAAGCTAACTATTTCATTGTTTCAATAGTCTTATAATAAGTAACGTTATGCCGAGTGTTTTGTCCCAGACTAAACACATACGAGCAACAGATCTTGCTCATTGCTTCACTTCCTGGGAGATGTAGTTAAAAAATGTTACTTTTCTGTTTTTTAGAATTATCTTTTAAAATAACAAATTTGTGAACATCATATGTAATTCAGAGCACAGTTCAGACCGAATAAAAAGAGAAGTTGTCTCTCGCCATTGACTACCATATGTTTTCCGAAATAAGGTCTATGAGCCAGAAACTGAGGGGCAGGACTTAGGCTCTCTATACAGATCAGTTCCTCTTTCAGGTCAAAGGTCACGCTGAGGGTCAGGTGACTCGGATAAGCAGCAGAAGGCATTCTTAAACCTGACAGAAATTGTGTGTTGGAAGCATGCAGAAAACTCCAGCCTTCAGGTTTTCTGATCATGTGTGTGTGTTAATGTGGTCGTGTGCTGGGCTCCAGTAGGGGGCGTTTTACTGGAAGATTCCCGCCTCCGCTCGATATCTCACTGTGTTCGGCCACGCCCCTCTTTAGACTCCGCCCATGGGCGTGTCCATTGACAGAACCCCTTTGCCATTTGCAGATGTCACCGTTTAGGATATCCTGAATATGCTGAACAATCAGGTTTATTGCCACTGAAGATTTAAAAGACAAAAGAGACGCAACAGGTTTGAAAAGCAAGGCTTAGTTTCATATAGGTAGGAATATTATGGCTCATATTTACCCATGTTATCAACTCCACGAGGTATTATGACATCTGCATACTTCTTGGTCTATTTGGAGAGAGATTTCAGAAGTCATGAATGCTTTAAATAACTATCAAATGTTATTTAAGCTTTAGTCGTGTGTGTGTGTGTGTTCTCACCGGAAGGCAGAACTCTTCAAAGGCCGGTTTAACAAACGTGGTGTACTGTGAGAGAATCTGTTCCAGATCTCGACCCCTCCTCATGTCACGCAGAACTAAACACACAATTTTATGCAGACACTGTTATAACAGGCATCTATCTATGCTAATTATTTGAAAATTTCAAATTTAGGTTACATTTTAATTTAGGATGGCCTTGTTACAGTGTAAATATACAATTAAGTACAGAATAATATTATTGAACTACATGTACTTACTAAGGTTAGGATTAGTTTTTGTTTAGGGTTAGTTGCATGTCATTATGCATAATTTATAGTTATTACTATAGAAACTACATGTAACGTGTAATAAACACTGTAGAATAAATTACAGAATTTACATAAATTAAAATTTGTAAAGAAAGCTAAAAACTAGGGATGCACTGATATGAACATTTTGGCCGATACCGATAACCGATAATTCTTTATATTTGAAAGCCGATAACCGATATATCGGCCAATGAATCTAAATCCAATTTTTATATCATTTTTGAAAGCCTGATTGCAAAAACAAAAGTTTCACAATTAAAATCCATCCCCTAACACAATTGCAATGTTCTCATTTTAATTTAATGTAGCCGATATGACAGCACATTTTGTACTTTTTGATTCCAATCATATTTCAAGCAATTAAGATCAATCATGTTGAATAGTGCGCATCTTAAGTGTCTCGGGTGTCAAGTGTTGAAGTAAATAATTCATTATTTATCAGCTTTAATATCAGCCAAATTTTATTATCGGGCCGATAACGATAACATAAAAATGAGCAAATATCGGCCGATACCGATATGGTGGCCGATATATCGTGCACCCCTACTAAAAACAGTTTCTGAAACATAAATAAAGTATATAAAACAAATATGGACTATCATTTAAAAGTTTGGGGTCAGTAAGATTTATTTATTTATTATTAAACTAAACATTAAGGACACAATAAAATTGAAAAAAAGTAACAGTAAACACATTTATAATTCTACAAAATATTTCTACTTCAATGCCTTTTCCCCAAAGTTTAAAGTTCAAATAAGATACTTTTGAACTTTCAAAAAATGCATTATGGTTTCGAAAATATGAAGCAGCACAACTGTTTTCAACTGATAATAATCAGAAACGTTTCTTGAGCAGCAAATCGTCATATTAGAGTGATATCTGAAGGATCACGCGACACTGAAGACTGGAGTAATGATGCTGAAAATACAGCTTTGATCACTGAAATAAATTATATTTTAATATATATTCAAATAGAAAACAGTTTACAATATTTCACAATATTACATTTCACAATATATTTTATTTTGTTCAAATAAATGCAGCCTTGGTAAGCCAAAAAAAAAAAAAACATAAAAAAATCGAGCAAACCCTAAATTTCTGAACAATAGTGTACATAATAATTTTCTTACTCATAGATTTAAAGTTCCTCTATTAAGTTTTGCCCATTTTAAAGTCTTATTTTATAGCTTTTATTTTTTTAACTCTTGAAGTGCATTTTTTATTAACTATAAATAAACAAAACTTTGAAATGTGTCTATGAAATAAAAACAAAACTGGAAATAGCAAAGCCTGAACTTAACAATAACAGTGTTGTAAATTATAAGTATGTCTGAAAGTTACATTCAAATACTTTATTTTTTATTTTTTTGTAGATATTGCATTTGGTGCAGTCAAATTGATAAATAGCATCTAACAAAAAATTGTGCTTATATAGTGTGTTATAAAGGATGTATGATATATAAAAATATATTTATACACACACACACATAAAAATATATCAATATATAATATACACATGTTAACAAAAAACTTATGTTAAATCCGATTAATCATGATTAATCGATTTGACAGCACTTATTACATTATATAAAATTCTAAATAATATAAAGACATTGTCTCTATACTTGGTGTGCTTGCTTATGTGTGCATTACCTCTGCGAGACAGGCGTACATCTGAGTCCGTGTCCACAAACAGCTTCATATGGAACATGTCTCTGACTTCCTGTGTGTAAAACACCAGAATCCCCTCGAACAGCACCACATCAGCGGGATACACACATATCTTCTCTGGCAGCCTACACACAGTCATTAAATAATACTCCGTTATCAGACAGACATTCACATACTATCAAGCACACGTGAAGAGAGAGACTGTGAGTCATTGTTTGACAACGTGTCATTATGAGTATAAAGTGTGTGTGCGGCCTGGTAAACCCAACATTATGGGGACAAAATATCCTCACAAAAATCCTTGTCCTTGTGGAGACAATTGAGGTCCCTATCATATGAGGAAAACTCACAGACTAAGTGATGTTTTTTCAAAATGCTGAAAGTTTTGTGTGATGGGTTAGTGTAAGGGGAGACAATATGAGTTTGTACAGTATAAAAACCATTAGGTATATGGAGAGTCCCCATTGAACATGAAAACACAACGTGTGTGTGTGTTATTGCCTGGAATGGGTGACGAAGTCATATGTTGGAACCTCCACCACCTTCCCTTCTACTATATCCTTCAACGTCTGACACATGAACTCTGTATCAAATGCCTCTGAGAGAGAGAGAAAACATCATAGTTAATTGAAAACCGACCCACACGTCGCTCCAACCTTGTGTTGCTGACCTATTTCCATTGATTTGTATAAACAAAATCACAGGATCATAGACAAAAAAAAGGACAATATCAAACAACAGGTGAGTAAATGATGACAGCATGGCTGCATTATCCTTTACTTATCCTTTTTTTACCTGGATGGTCAAAGTTGTACTGGCCTTTCAAAGCTTTGGCCTTCTGTTCTGGAGTGAGAATCCGGTAGAAACTGTCCTGGCTGACGATAGTGACCTTCCTCTGGTGGTGATCAACCATGTTCTGACCCAAAAGCTCCATGATTTTGGCACACACCGTGGACTAGCAAGAGAAAAACAGCAGGTAATGACATGGACTGACAAGTCTACTTTCACATTTGTAATTGCATCAGCCTGAATATCATTACAGACACAAGACACCAGATTTTATAATTACATGCTGCATGCTGTTTTCTTGTGCATTTTATATATTATGGTTTTAATTGCATGCATTCAAATTAAATGCAATTTATATGTAAAGCAAAACAGAGAAACATGTTGACTGTGACTAACCTAAGGCACAACATGTAAGTTATAGGTTTACATGCATCAAAAAGCCAAAGCCAGCCGTATGCATCAGTTTCCATCATGCATGCAGTGTCTCGTACCTTTCCACTGGCTGTTCCTCCGCTCACCCCGATCAGGAAAGGACGGTGACGCGGCCGCTCGCTTTCACACAACAGTCCGGCTGGATTCATGCTGGTACAGTAAGAAAACTTCAAGTAAACCGTTCTGGATATGATCGGTCATTAGCTGGAGGTTGTGTGCTCAATTACCGCCTGGTTTTACTCTCAGCAACGGCCGATTAAAGTACTCTAATATTACTGTACTGGTTAGCAATTGTTAAAGTGAACATGACATCTGTCTTCCACCACGAGGCGCTCAGCGACTCAGTGAGACATGTCCGTATTGAGGCTCATAGAAATCTCATGATGTTTTTTTGTCTTACTGGAGATATTTGGTGTTTAAAAAATATAGTCTTGTGAATACCTGAGATTGATTCCTGACATAAAAGCGGGAACGGCACCATTTGTCTATGTATTGTTGTTTAAAACATCCTTGTTGAGTCACCGAAAACAACTGTGATTGGCCCGTTCTAGTCCAGCGCTGAGAAAAGTAACAGGTGTCATGTGACCACTATACCTTTACACGGCTTGAACGCAGTCTGGACAATAATCTAATGAGTTTTGTAAAGATATTGAGACATTTTAATGGATGGTTAAGTGAAAGACAGCACAAAATTAAAAGCAGAACAACTGTTTTATCCTGACCAATAAGAGCAGACCGCTAAGCCACGACCATTGTCGCATCCCTGCTTCTCTGTTGAATGCCATTCTACCTCCTCTTTCTGTTTATGTGGTTTCGCTTCTGGAGTGGACGTTGCTGCGTCATGCTGCGCGCGCAAACTCGACAAAACTTGTAAACAAAGCCATCACTTATCGCAAATTGTGTTGAAACAATTTATTTTTTATACATTAAAAAAATACTCTTTTATATTCATTTTATAATGATTTCATTACTATTCCTTGCAGAATTTTAAATTAACTAAATGTACATTTTCACAGAATACACACACACACACACACACACACACACACATATATATATATATATATATATCCACTGTGTGCTTACGAACATTCTCCATACAAACTCACCAGCAAACGCATACAGGTTTGGAACAACCTAGATGATGAGAAAATTTCATTTTTAGGTGAACTATACCTTTAAGAAAGTTTCTTCACTTATGTAATACTTATAATCAGTGTTGGGTGTAATTAATTACTTGGTAATCTAAGTATTTTGATTTAAATATTTTTCCCTTTAATAAGTAACATAAGGGATTACTCTTAATTTATCCGTAATCTAATTACAGTCACTTCTGATGTAATTGCATTAAATACTGTAGACTACAGAACACTTCCATATAAAGCAATAGTTTGTTTAAAATCAATGTTTAATTTTAAAAAGTATGTTTTCAATGTAACCTTTTCCCTTTACACACTTTGGTCAGTTCAAGAATAATTTATGCAACTGTATATTATTTATTTGAAAGAACTAAAGTGCCGTATCATGTCTATCCTTGATTTGTTCAACTGTTCAAGGTTGATATGGGATTTTAGAAAGTAGTTATAAATTAGTAATAGAGTAATCAAATTACACTGTAATTAGTAGCTAGTAATTAATTTACTGCTTATAATATGCTTTAGTTTATTTCAGAATTTCCAGCCCTTAGTTTTGTTTGTAACTATTGTTTTTTGTTGCAAAATCGACAAAACAACACAAACCTTGCAAAACCAGTTTTGCTTTAGTTGTATTTGCGTTTACCAGTCAAAGGTCTCTGATATACAGCGCATGTCATTTGAAGATTTCAAAGGATGTTGCAGTGAAAATATTGCAGTGTCCACAAGGTGGGGCAGAACACTTTAAAAAGAAACTCCAAAGTGATGAGATGATTGTTTTTCAGTGTTTTAATAAGAATATAAAAACTATAACGACAACATGATACAATGAACAGCTCTTGGTAATTGCTAGACCTGAACTAGTAGTTTTAGACAGTCATATAAATGTCAGTCATGTTTTGTCCGACCCGTCGCTCAGATGTGGGGGTTTCTGTTCATCTGGATTATTTCTTGACGCCTCCTTTATTGATTCCTCTGCAACAATTTCCAGGGCCTCGTTCCCTTGAACTCTTCGTACCGATTCTCCTTTAGCAGCCAGGATCTCCTCGATGTTTCTATGACAAATACAGAACATGCGACATTTAACTTCACAATAAAGTTTTTTGTCATAATGATTTAGAGCAGGGGTTTTCTTGTGGAAAGGTTTAGAGAAAAACAGTGTAAAAATATATATTTAACCCTCATGCCCTTAATTGTTTGTTCGAGGACAAATGTGGCCACAGAGGTCTCATGTGTGATCCAATTTTTTATTTATTATAAATGTTATTTCACTGTCTTCGATAAAAATTATACTATCCATTTATGGTGTTTTTTATTTTTGGGGCATTTTTGAATTTATTTACCTCTAAAAGTTCCACATTTTCTATGTAAATTATGCTTATTTTTATGTTATATTTAAATAAATCTAGCAGTAGAGTTACAGTACTAAAGTGAGAAGAATTTCTTTTAATGTAATAGAAAATAATGTACATTTTTGAGTCATTCGTGAGTCTTTATACATGAAAATATATAGCTGCTTTTTATTTTGTAGTATAGATCCTCACATGAGGATGAACATATTTAAGGGTTAGTGGCATCAAGGCCTGGTTTCACAGACAGGGTTTTGAATAAGCCAGGATTAGTCCTTAATTCAATTAGGACATTTAATTACGGTAACTTTTATAATGCCAACAGTACTGTGTGCAAAACAGACAAAACAATGACACTGACATATTTAAAGATCTATCAGTGCAAGTTGCGTTCAGTTAAAACTGCTCAAACATACATTTTAGTCTCAGACTAGGCTTATCTGTGAAACCGGGGGCAAAAGACTGAAAAGCCCAGCTAGTAAAGTACAGGATGGAACAGCTTTGCCTTTCACAGCCTTGTTTTCTTTATTTCAGTTTTTATGAACAAACATACTCACCTTTTCCCCTCCAGGTCAGAAAACCAGTTCAGATTATCAGCGATGACGTGATGGTTGTTGCATCCAGGACACGTTACTATGACGACACCCTTGTGATACGCTATCTTGGATATTTTCTTCATGGAGCGAGTGGAGCACACCTAAAGAGACAAAACATAAAAGTACGTGACTGAGTTGAGCAATACTACGAGTCAAAAGTTCCCCAGCTGAAGACACACACTTGTACAGAAGAAATAGGATCGTACTTTACAGGTGTACACCAGTTGATAGTGCGTTGACTGCACTTGTCCAATGGCTTCAGTCCTGCACTCCGAGGTTGTGAAGCTCCTGCAGGAACTCAATCTGCCTCTCTGTGACCCCAATAAAGAATTAGTTAAGTGTAAGGATGTGTTTGGGGCTCCTTTCTGTGCCTCCTTATATTTGACACTAGCAGGACAGCATGTTTTAAGCACAGACAGACTTCCCGCACCACGTGATCTGATAATTCTCGGTCTGAATAAAAAGAAAAATAATCGCGAGCTCATCATCGAAACGTTACCAGACATTCTGTTCTTCTTAAAAACAAGCGATATCTCTAAGGACGCTGAAATGTCATATCTGCTCAGAGTTGAATCACTCGGCGCTTACCGATGACGACAGAGACTAGACGTCTAAACGAAGCCCCGCCCATCATGTTTATTTACCAGTGACATGTGGATTCTGGATTGCATCGAATAGGAAGGGTCATTTACTTACTTATTCAGAATTATGAAAATTTTTATTTTATATTTCTGCCAAGGAGTATAGGATAGTAATCAATGCCATCCCCCCAGAACTTATGAAATTGCTAGGAAATAATATTACTGAAAAGCCAACCTAGACTTGGACTAACTGAAAGGTATACATTCAAAAGGCAGAAAATGTCAAAATAATTATCTCAGAACAATTTACCATTGGATTTTGGAGGACTTAATCACTAATATTTTTTTGTGTAGGCCTATGTGTTAAAAATAGTACTAACTCTTAATTACAACTCAAATAAATGTATGTTTTTATGATAATACTGGTGACTTCAAAATGTAGCTAGTATTTTGTGAATTTACTCATTAGGCTATCGAAAATTATTTATCTACAAATGTAAATTGGGAGGGAAAAAACTAATTTGACTTGCTTGTATACATTAAAAGAAAAGATAAATAACGAAGCAAAAAAACTAAATTATTTTAAAGCCTTCTATAAATATATTTTTTAAATAACGTTTAATGTTTGTACTCATTTATAGACATGTGAATGTACAACTGCTTTCTCTTCTCTCATTTATTTAATTTATCATAAGAGTTGATGTAATTGATTGCTATGTTATCACCCTTGTATGTTTATTGTTCAAAAGATTACAATAAAAGGGACAAGTGTTTTATATCAGTTTGAGATTAAAGATTTTTTTTTTATTAATACATTATACATGTTGCTGGGAGAAGCTTGAATATATGCCAAACTTTGCTCGCTGGAGTGAAAGTGTGTTTTAATGACTGATAGCCTGCTCACATCATGAGGAGCTTAAAGCAAGTTTATAATAGTCCTGCAACTGCAAATAAATCTGATGATAAACAAATCTGATGATAACGATGGTGAAACGGTCTTGAAATAATCTTGTGCTAAAATATTTTAGGTGTTATATAATTATGATGTTATAATCATTTTATTACTAGCCTATTTGATTCAGCCTACTGGTAAACAGCGGGTAAATGTTGTAACATCTCCTTCCGTTTTGCCTTTGATGAGGAGAACTTTATGATGTCATAGGAACGTCATATTTCCGTTATTCACTGTTGTGACTTTTCTTGTCTTCCCGCGCGTCTGTGTCTTGCGACAGTTTCTTGGGTTACAGTAAACGGGCAAACGACCTTCATGTCACAAGGATAGTCTGCACCGTCCGCTCCACCCTGCGTCAAAGTCACGCCCGCGTGTGCGGTATCAGCGCAGCCCCAGTCAACGCGCCCGCTCGCGCCGCAGTACATATTCTACTATGGCGAAGATCTGGCTCATGAATATTAATCGACTCACATTGACGTCACGTTGTGTTTGTGTCCGTCACGTAAAGTAATTAAATATTAATGTTATTTTTGTAATATTTATAAAAATGCCATAAAACTCACTAAAGCAAATATCATAGGTTAGCAAAAAATATATAACATATATCAGTAATTATTATATAAATAATAAATGATATAAATAAAGTTAATTATATATATATATTCATGAATCACAGATTTTTAAATAATGCTAATCTAATTTAACAAATGCAGCCCTGTTGGCTGTTTAAGATCTGTTAAATTGAATTGATTCGTCAATCCACAGTCCGTCTAGGCCCGCGGAGTTTCTGTCAGCCAATCAGGGTTGGCCTAGCGGTTCAACGTAAAGTTACGTTATTAATATTCATGAGCCGAACCTTCGCTGTAGTAGGGTTCGAATCAGGCGCATCCCAGGAGGTCCAGCTGACGCGTATTCCTGGGCGTGGCTTAGCCGCGTTCCTCAACTCTTTCCTCGGGCTGCGGAGTGTGTGAGGCTGCCGCTGTGGATCGTGGACCGGAGGAAAGACATGTATCAGTTATGCGCCACAGGAGCCAGAGATCCACTCAGTAACGAGGCCGGTGAGTTACGCTGGATGTTTGTGTGTGTTCTCGGGGGTTGAGCGTGTGTTCAGGGTGTGTTTGACTACACAAAAGGCTTTTAGGAGACCAACAAGACAAGCTTTAATTTTCCACCCACGGAAAACCATTAAACTGCAGGCCAAGGACTGTGTGCGCGCTTAACTTTGTGTGAGTTATTGTGTAAATTAATGAGTTATTGTGTTTCTGTGCATGTGGTTTTCACCATCCAGTGCGTGTTTGCTGTGCTTGTATCTGGATCTGATCTTATTAATATAACATCTCCTGTAATTGTATATGGCCCCCTAAACTAGTGGTTTTGAAACTGGGGTCTGCATGGCAGTCCATGCAAAAAGTTCAGAGAAAAACAGTGTAAATTAAATAAATAGGGCTTATATAAAAAAAATGATGAACCTAACTGAATACAATTGATTAAAATAAATAACAAAATTGTTAAAATATATAAATAATAAATAATTAATTTAATTATTTAAAAAAAACAGAACCATAGTGAGTAGAAAAATAAATAATGTCACAGAAACTAAATGTTTTCAAAATAATAGTACACATATTTTCACTGTATAAATTTGATCTTTATATATATATATATATATATATATATATATATATATATATAAACTGTCTCTAAATTTTTGGGATGTGGTCCCTTGCATGAGAAAGTTAATATTTGGGGTCCGTGGCATATAACAGATTGTAAAAAAAACAACAACAACCATCTGCCTTTAGATTACCTGATATTGATTATACAGCCACTTAAAAAAATACATGTGTTTTTCTCCACTTACTGTAGTAATAGAATGATTTTGGGACACTCCTTTCTGGGTGTGTTTTGGGTTAGTGGTTAAAAATGTAGGCTAGTAACCTGTTGGCCACAGGTTTAAACCTCAGAATAGGTGTACCGCCATTGTACAACTGAGAGGGTCTGCCGTATCACTTCAGAAAATAGCACAGATGTGTCATGGACTATTTTAACATCATTTTACATTCATCATATTTGGTTTATTTTGCCCCATAACATGGATAAGGGTTAAATGCTAAAGGCGAGAGATGTGTGTGTTTTGAACAAGTGCAGGCCTGATGTTTTTCCTCAACGTGTGTGAAGATGTCTTGAGCAGGCCTAATGTGTTCCAGGAAGCAGGGTAGATCTGAGCCGGACACACCCGTAATTGACTGCAGTGTGGAGTGTAAAACCCAAAGCCTGCATGTCTGTGGGACGCCACACACACAAGACCTATGACCACATATAATCACCAAATGCCCTTTCCTAGCATCTGTGAAAGAGTTGAATGCATCAGAACAGAACTGTTCTCGAGGTCTCAGTAACTCTGGCTATATCAATTTTATATTAATATAAAATATAAATAAATATGTTTATTTATTTAAATGTTATTTATTTATATAGATATATAGAAAAATAAATATTACATTTTTATATATATATATATAATATTTAATTTAAACTTATGAAAATAACATTTTATATATACGTAAATACAATATAAATGTATGTTTTCACAACATGATCTGCATTTCCATGGGTGAAAATTATATATTTTTTAATAACAGACATTAAAAACAACTTTGTGCTTCAAAACTCCTCCTTTTCTGGTAAAACAATTTTTTTATTGATTTTCAAAAGTCAATGAATTTGCGACAGCTGAATGTAACATTTCTGACAGGCCAAACATGTGTTTCTGAGTAATATGTCATTTATTTAAGCCACTAAACAAACGTTATTCTGTAAAATAAGTATAATAAAACGTTTTGAACGTTTCCAGCACGTCTGATAATTAATTACCCCAAAAAATCAACATGGTTTACTTCTCACACACATTGTCACGTCCGTCAAACACTTATGCTGGCTGTCGGATGGAATATTAGCACTGAAAACGTTGCAAACTAACTTTGCAGACCATTAATGAGGTCATCGCTCACTGAAAATCTTCAGATCTGCCCTAGCTCTTTTTGGCATGTTTGTGAGAGAAATAGACACAAAATCATTCTTGTGATTCTGATATTTTCAGTGAATTGGTTTGTCCCAGCTCTCAAGACGACTCTAAATGATTAATTGACAATGTAGATTAATCAGGTTCCTGAATTCTCACTCAGTGACTCTGTAATGCCTCGTCCCATAGACTTCCATTACTGTAAATGCATTTGTTTTGTTTTTACAAACTTAGGAGATCAGTCCAAATCATTATCTGTGGTAATTGCCATGTTACAGATAGAGCTTTTTATTTCACTTTCCCTTTCTGAAAGTGAGATTTTATACCAAAGTGCACATTTAATTGCTTTGAGTGGTTAAAACCCCATCATTAGCTCACTGGAGTCTTTCTGGCCTGGTAGTTTCGAATGAGTGGCAAGAAATAGCAAGCATTTATTTCAATAACATAATGAGTGATGCCATAAGATGACAATTCGACATGTTAATACCCCAGTGTCTCCGTGTGTTGTTCAGCTCTTTTGTAGACGTGACTGAGTGGGGTGATGGTTATAGATATGATGCACTGGTCTAGTGTGTGTGTTTGGGTGATGTCCTCCTTTAATACCAGCCGTTAGCAGCAGATGGGGACAGTATGCCCTTGGGGGAAACTAAACAGAGTGAGTTAAACAACAGACCCTTTGTGTGTGTGTGTGTGTGTTTGCGAGACGCACCTGGATTTCACCGGACTCAGGACAAAATGTTGTGCGGAAGAAGAGTTTGTGTCATGTGTTCACTCACAGGCTTTGAAAGGATTGAAACAAGGGGCAGTCGTGGCCTAATGGTTAGAGAGTCAGACTGGTAACCCGTTCGATTTTCAATACCGGCAAGAATCGACTTGGATGCCCTTGAGAAAGTCACCTAACCCCGATTCACTCCTCGGGTGCCACAGTAAAATGTATGTGTGTTCACTTCGCACTAAGTAACTTGGATGGGTTAAATGAAACAGTCATGAAATGAGGTATTGTCAATAATATGATGTCAATAAAATGAAAGCGTCAGAATAGTTGTAGAGAGCTCCAAGTATTGATGGTCTACGATGGGCTGTTTTTTTTTTTTTTTTTTGTTTCCTTTCAAAATAATAATATCCATTAATGGGAGCATCGAAATATGCAAATTGGACACAGCAAACTAACATTGGGAGAAAGAAAACAACCCTATTTCTATCTGCCTTTTTTTCTTGATGATAGTTCCAAATGTGATTATTATTGGTGGTGATTAATGAACTAATAAAAAAATCTAACCAGCAACTAAAAAATGTAGAGGCAACTTATATAAGAACTGAACTTTTTAAGTTAAATCAACTAATTTGCTCCAGTTGAGCCAACGCTGTAAAAAAAAAAAAAAGTGTTCAATTTACGGGAAAATACCGGCAGCTGTGGTTGCCAGAAATTTACCGAATAAAATACTGCAGCGAGACTTTACGGTAACAAGGTTTACAGACTTAACTTAAAATGTATAGAAATAAACTATATTTATTATCTGACATAATGTTAAATTGTCGACCAATTGAAGTTTTAATATCCGTTTTGTACCATTGAAATACACTGACAAAACCAACAATCACAGCAGTGATAAGAGTCACATGATGTATGGAAGCTCATCACATGAACCTCTTCCACAAGAAACTTAATATTGATTTTATAGAAGTTGCACAGTGTCATTCACTCAGACATTAAACACCATCATGGTAATTTTCACTGTAAATTATACAATGAGTTGTTAATTTTCACTTTAAAAACTGTAAATTTAAAGGTATTTTACTGTACAATTACATGAAATTTTCTATTAGATCTATCACAGTTATTTATCGTAGATAGTAAGGAAAGGTTCTTTTAACTAATTAACAGTTTTTCACTGTAGCATTTTTACAGTTAAAATCGCAATAATTTCCGAAATTTTCTAATGTTTTTTTTTCGTATTCATGATTTGGTGGCTCTGAATTGCCAAAACGCCAATCAAACGGCATTCAAAATGCTTGCTACGGATGCAAAAAATATAGAAAATCAAACCCGATCCGATTTTTTTTATGACGGACTAAAGTTTCAGAAGCAGTGTGGAAGCGTGATTGACAAAATAAGAGGTCGTATTTATTTTTTAATGTGCGAAAATTTCGGACTCATTGTGCAAGGGCCTTGGCATGAAATCAAATTTGACAAATCTTCTTTTTTTATATAATATTGTAGTGTTTATTATAAAAGATTTATCTGTGCACTTCATTATTTTTTAAAAATTCATGTACCCTTATAATCTTTAATCAAATACATTACCCTTCCCTCCCCCGTCGAAACGACCTGTCTTCTATTTCGCTCACGTGCAGTGGCGAAAGGGTGCGGCCAGATCCGATGATCCGAATCGCATTCAAATCTGCCTCCATTTTGTTTGCAATGCCCAACATCCAACGATCCAGTCAATTCCCGAAGGACGAAATCAAGCCCTGCCCTACATTTTTTTTTTCTAATTTCAGAAGCAGGAAAAAATTACAATCTGAACTTTCATTTCATGCCGACTTTAACTTAACTACCTAGTCTTTTGAACTTCTTGTCAAGGTAATTATACACTCTAAAAATTGCTGGGTTGTTTTAACCCAACTTTGGGTCAAATATGGACAAACCCAGCCATTGGGTAACATTTTTTTATTTTATTGTAATTTTAACCCAATGGCTGGGTTTTTCCATATTTGACCCAAAGTTGGGTTAAACACTTTTAGAGTGTAGAATATATAGCATTTAGCAATGCAAGCAGAGACAAGCCTTAAAGGGTTAGTTCACCCAAAAATGAAAATTAAGTCATTAATTACTCACCCCCACGACTTCATACGAACTGAACTGAAGTAGTTGAAGTAGATCGCAATTCTCACGCATACGTCGTGGAAATCTCTTGAACTCTCGTCTCAGGCCAACAAGGAAGAAAAGGAATAGTCGAATAAAGTCGTTATTTTTGTTTGTTTTTTCGCACAAAAAGTATTCTCGTCGCTTGATAAACTTATAGTTGAGCCACT